CTGCGGATGCGGATCGGACGCGGACATAATTATGAATGCGATTGCATTCTTTAGCTACTTCACCCGGTTTTCGGGATACGCTATCTGGCCTTGAATGTGCCGTGCGTATGCGCGGCGCGCGTATGCGGAGGCGTTGCGCTGCCGCGCGGCGCCTCCACGCACGCAGGACGTCCGCATACGCAAGCGCCGCGCGTATAGACCTTTTCATTTTAGTAGTTGCCTCACCGGTGGACAGAGGGCGCTGACGCACTCGGCGCCATTAGGTTGCTTCAATTTGGTTGGTTACGGTTTCAACGTGAATGCGGCTATGTTGCTCTTTTACGTTGTTTTTGCTTAATTTTGTGATACGATTATTTTCCTGGTAGCACACAACCAATGAAACAGTAGTATTGAGCCACTTTGATGTCTACGAGGTGTATTTTAGCTTAAATTGTGGACTTTTTTTTACCAACTTTTTTGATGTATCTGATTATGGTCGGTTGTGAAACGCCTGACTAATGTACAGGGAAGATTACCATCCTTTATGGCCGTACCCGATGACACCAGTTTCCAGAAAAACAAACTAATGAAGTGAGTAACATGTAAATATAAAGGGGGGAAGCACATCGACAGGTTGATTAGCAATGTTCTGAATCGGCCAGAACAGATGAACTCGCGAGTTTACAACTCTCTGTTTGGTTTTCGTGGGCACCCTACCTTTTAGTGAACTTCGCAGAATAAAAACTTTTCGTGTAATGACGCAGATAATTGATATAAACAAATAATATCGTCTCGGCCTCTTTTTTCTTAAATTTAGTACTCGAGCATGTTTTGACAGGCTGAGTAGGAAATTTCTTAAATTATCAAGCCTGCTAAAGTACTCATAAGCAGCATTTCGCGATATTTGCCCCAGGAAATACATTTTTTTTATATAAAGATGTGCTTACTCAGGATAGGATAGAAGTGACAGGCCCGTCAAATTAAATCTGGCATTTGTCTTCCGTAAAATTGGCCAAATAAAATTAAAGGGCGCAGGAGGAGAAATATTTCCGAAAGCTTTCCTGAGTTCTAGCGCTAGGCACAACTTCACGGACCTGTGTAAAAAATATTTATTTCTTCGAACAAATTCGCTTTACAAATTTCGGCGTAGCCAGCCACAAAAAGTAAGCCTCTGTTTGCCATCGGCAATCCTGGACTCATATAGCTGTTATGCAAACGGCTCTTCTTTCTTTTTCTTATTTTTTTTTCTTTTTTTTTTTTGGGGGGGGGGGGGGCGTTAATTATTGCGGATTTTAGTTATGGCAAGAAATAAAACAACGTAAGCAAAAAAAAAAAAAAAGCGTCGTCATTATTGCGCATGCGCCGAACCCAAACCGTGTTTCGGATTTGCAAATAGAAACGACGTTATTTTTTGTGCACGCTATTCTAAAACTCGCTACTCTTAAGTGTGTGTGGCAGTTTTTTACGCGGGAGGTCCCAACCTTTGTGTTAAGTAAATTAAGTGGAGGGCACTGGTTATTTAAATGTGATCAATAAATCATTTAAATGACTGTTGAAATGGGAGCGAGTATGGTATACAATTTCCTATGCTTCATAAGTAAACCGACCAACCAAATGTGTACGTCGCAAAAAAAAAAAAAAAAAAAAAGAGAGAGGTTGAGAGCCTCATAGACATGTAGGTGTGATATTGTGAACAAACAAATCGCTCGATGTTGGCGTACCTTTACTTTTAGCCTCAGATAAAATACAAGTTACATTTTCGTTGTCTATCTCCTCCGCGAGTTTCCTCATATAATCAAAAGAAACTGTTTTCGATATATTATGAATACAAAGAACGATACTTCCACGAAATACAGATAGTCTCCGTGCGCTGATTATTCTTGACGCCTTGCAATCCTAAATGCGCGATATAAATATACGCGCTTCTTAGTGAGAATGTTTCGCCAATATTAGTAAACAAACCTCGGGAGTCGTCGAGTAGACGTATCGGACTACAGTTTCCGAAGTAAGGCCAGCAAGCGCGGTGAAACGCGACGAAAAACACGAATGCAACGCTTCCGCCAAGGTGCGGAGGGGGGAGCGGAGCAGCAAGTTGAAGCAACCTAATGGCTGCCGCGTCACGTGATTCCAAGATGGCAGCGCCCATGCGGAGGAGGATGAAAAGGTCTATACGGGCGTCGTCCTAGAGGTCGTCCTAAACTTCACCTTCGATGTCACCCTCTAGGACGTCGTCCTCGACGTCACCCTAGAAGCCGTTCTTGAGGTCGTCTTTGTGATCACCCTAGAGGTCGTCCCAGAGGTCGTTCTATACGTAGTTTTTGACATAATCCTCGACTTCGTCCTTGAGGTCGTCCTAGAGATCGTCCTAGAGCTCATTCTAGACGTCGCCTTCGACGTCTTCCTCGACGTCGCCCTAGACGTTTCCCTCGAGGTCGTCCTAAAAACCTTCCTTGAGATCGTCCTAGATGTCGTCCTGTCGTTTTTGACCTTGTTCTCTGGACGTCGTCCTCGACATCGCCCTAGCAAGCAGATGAACCCGCGCCGTGCATACGCGGAGCGGCAGTACGCACACATTCACATTTGCGCCCGAGTTACGAAGCAATTTTCGGTTTAATTTGAGATAGTTGGTACATGGTCAATGATGATGGTGAAGCGGCTTGAACATTAAACGATTACACAGAGACAGGACAAGACACGCACGAGGCTGCAATGATAGTGGGGAAACAGCTTGAACATTAAACGATTACACGAGACAGAATGTTAGACGATTTCACAGACACGAAGCAATCACTCACTTTTGAAGTGGCGCGCTGCAGTCGCGCTGATGTCAATGATTGCTTTGTAAACCATTCATAAAATATAGTGTCCACTCAAAATTTGCGTCTTCGTACTCACAGTGAGTTGTATCGTGAATCTCATGACGAATTCTATCGCAATTCATAAACAACGAACAATAGTGATTTCTGCAGCCAATTTTAATGCGATAGCGTTAAGAAGCTCATGTCCCAGAAAAGCCGGCATCGGCGTCGCCGGGATGGGAAATTCTGATTGATCGATAAGGTCATAACGGCACAGCCACATCACCCTCGCGTGGGAATTTTAAACTACCCACGACGTCCATGCCAAACCTGACCTGACGCGTAAGATGAAAGTGATGGAAAAAAATACGATACGTAATTCGAATAAAGGCCGTTGCATGTCTGAAATGGTTACACTTTACAAAGCAATTAAATTGCCTGAAAGAAAAATTTGAAAAATTTTAGGTGGGACTCATTTCGACACAAGTTATAATAAAATCATTCGGAATCTGCGCGTACTGTAGGGCTTTCATTGGTCCACACAATGTAGTCCTCGAGAAAAAAAGAGTCCACATGTTTTTCTAGTGCCCTGATATGAATAGGCGGTTTTGTAGTATAGGGGCTTGGTAGATGTGGGAACTAACACATTTTAGACAATATAAGACCAAAAACGACCTTTTTAAACAATGACTTCAGTGGGACACTGAAGTCATTTTTTAAAAAGGTCGTTTAAAGGTCACAAGCGTGAAAAAAGCCTGTAGCTCGTGAGTTATTTGTCCGCGCTCAGACGAGACGTGCACTGCTAAAACGGGTCTTCATATCCTTGGGTGCACGAGTACACGGTGATGGGGCTTTTTTTTTTATTGTCTTATGGTTCCTCTGCCCTCTTTATCTGCGCACTGTTGTTCCAGTCAATTATATCACGCTTTTCTGCTTCTTCTCGCGTTATTCCTCTTGCCAATCTGTAACCCGCTTCAACGCCTTTGGTTTCGTGTTTTTCTTACCCACTATAGAAAAACAACAGAAAAAAAGCCCCATCACCGTGTCGTTTTTCTGCCGATAACAAGTCTTCTGGGCCACCGCCGTGTTTTTCTTCTCCATGATTGTGTACCTAATGTACGGTGACACGCGCCCGGGGCGACTCGGCCGTCTCGTCACCCCGTCGCCTAATTACTATAGTCTGTTTCTCTTCTATACAATCACATCCACGCTCGAGGTCGGATCGACACTTGAGGCTGCACCTAATCCTGTAGGGATCCTCATCTCGACGTTCCCGCCGTCTCAATCAGGGAGCGTGCACCTGCAGACAAGTTCGTTCAGCTGTTTCCTCTCGTTCGGCCCAAGGCCGCTGCAGACTGTCTGCCCGGAGGTCATCGATGTCGTCTCTTTGTGTTCGTTTCTCCTCTTCTCCATTGGGAGAATGATTAGGCTTTGCTTCAGATGCGTGCAAGCGAATCGATTGCAGAGGAGGAAAGAGCAGGGCAGCTATTCTCCGCGCAACTTTTTGGTCAGCAGCTGGCGTAGTTTCCACAGCGGTGCTGGTGCAATGCTGCAGAAAAAGGGAGAAGGCGGTTGAGGGCGTTACACAGCTTCCAAACAAGCAAAACATTTGGTAAACAACAAAACACGTACACAAAATTAAAGCTCTAGACAGCTAGGATAAGAGTTGACTCTCAACTGCAGATTTAATGAAAAAACAGGCACCAACAACAATAAACAAACCAGTCATAATCAGTCACCGCTTGTCAAAAGGAAAGAAAACGAAACGACATCTTTGCTGTACCGAGTTACCTTTCCCATTTTTTCTCTGGAGGTGACGCAAAAGCTAGTTAGAAAATAGGGGAGCGGAGATAACATTATGTTTGCAGCTCCCTTTTCGTGAACTATTTTTTAATCTATACCTTTCGGGGAATCATTACAAAAACTTCCCCTGCCTTGCATGTCTAGACAGAAACGTTGCCACGACCTGAAGAAAGAGGCATACTAAGTTTCAAAACTTTGAGTAACAAATAAAACGAGAGTGGTACAACCCCTAAAGAAATTAATAGGCAGGCACTTGCTTATGCATCAAACACCGCTTTCGAACACGCCTTTTGAAGGCGCATAAGGCATCCTACATATTAATATTAACGATCAAAAAGCGTAATGTAATTACGTGGTTACTATACCCACAGACACACAAAAAAAAAATAGTTGCTCGTGCACATTTTGTTTTTGGCGCAGACGCAGCCTCCCCGCTGCACGCTGAAGGACAAGCCTGTACGCGGAGCCGCCCAGATGCTTCAACTGAGCCTGGATGGAAAGAGGTTGTACGCCACGACCTCCCTCTACAGCGCCTGGGACAACCAGTTCTACCCGGAGATGATTGAGTGAGTGCCCTTAGAGATGTGGGGGAGTTTTAGTGGATCGTTCTGGATACCCCCGATAACGATACCCGAGTGCGATGCGATGCAGGGCGAGAGGGGTCGGCGGGGTAAAGGTATCGTTATCGGAGTTACCCGGACGATCCACTAAAACGATCCAGTGTTCCCTTACCGCTTACCGCGAGTGTACGCAAACGACTCAGTCAGCACGCACCGTGTCTGTGAAATAGGGCACGCGGTCGGTGCGTAGGCCGCGAGGATGTAGCAAAAACTGCCCGCACTTTTCAGTGTTTGTATCGCGATAAAGCAATTTTTTTTTCATTTTTGTTTTATTTCGCACCAACCATTGTGTAGAAACAGAAACACGTGAAGTGAATGGTTGCGCTCCACAATCAATAGGTTGGAATCCAGGTTTGAACTTTGCAGTCGTACTGCACTCGCCAAATCGTCCCTCAGTGGAGACATCGGACGACATTCTGAAGACGCGCTCGCACCGCTCTTACGCCATTCGAAAGACACGGTTTTGTCCGCAGTCATGATGGCAGAGTCATCTGCGGACACGCGTCAAACATTTTAGACGCATGTTTGTTTCGTACATGCTTCCAACATGTGTGCAGACAGTTTTCTTTGTATGACCAATGGGACAGCACTACCATGCAAGGAGCACACATGCCTCAGACAGTGTGTCTAAAGACTGTCTTTTGTACGACGTTTTATCGGCGTGACCGCATCGGCTTCGAGGCAGACTAATTTTCTCCCCGTCTAAATCTGCACACGCCAAACCTGACTTTTGTGTACCAAGCGTCGGTTCTGAACAGCGTTCGATAGCGAAATGTTTTGCATTCATTTTGCAGGGGCGGCGCCATGATGATGCGCATCAACGTGGACACGGCCAAGGGCGGTCTGTCCATGGATCCCGACTTCCTGGTGGACTTCGGCGAAGAGCCCGAGGGGCCCGTCCTGGCGCACGAAATCCGTTTTCCCGGAGGGGACTCCACGTCCGACATCTGGCTCTGAGCCGGGTTCCTGCTCCGGCTCTGCTTCCGCCGCAACACGGAAGAGCACTGGAACCCTAGGGCGAGAGTTCAGTCGTTGTCGCCTATTCAGAGAAGAGAAGAGGCGAAAAACAGGAACGTGACCCCCGGTCTGAATGTCACGCCAGATGTCTTGGGGGAAATAAATGAAAAAAGAGACTCATTAGTCGTCCCGCGAATACGTGATGAGGCAGAGAACAAGAGACGAACGAATGCAAAACAAACAAAACGGAAAAAAAAATGTATTGTGATTTGCACAAGATTTACTTGTTCCGGCTGTGGATACACTTTGAAAAGTGTTACACCCATGGTAATGTAAATGAGCTTGTCACAGGGTTAACAGCCCAAGCCGCAATCATAACACTGAAACATGATAAAACAAAAATTGGCAACGACCTTTCCTTTTAATGTTCTATAATGTATGGCATGCATTACAGGGAATTGGTGCGTTACGTGGCGTATATTTTCCCTCTAAATTTAGCAGTCAAACTGAACGGTTGTATGGGTCACGTTATGTCAGGCCACGTGATTTCGATTTCTTTCGCTAAATTTATCGGGGAAACTGGATTGGTGTCTAGGTTACAAAACATGAATTTTCCCCGCTAACTTTAACGGGTAACTGAATCGGCCTATAGGTCACGTGACGTCGATTTCCCGCTAAATGTAGCCAGGAAACTGAGTTGACGCACAGGTCACGCGTGCCGTCACTTTTTTCAAGGCGTATAGATCACATGACGTCATTTTGCCGTCAAATTTAGTGGAGAAACTGAATTGGTGTATAGGTCAGGTAATCTCAATTTTTTTTTTGCAAAATTTAGAGGGGGAAAGTGGATTGGTCTGTACGACCCGTGACGCCAGGTCACGTGACATCAATTTGCCCGCTAAATTTAGCGGGAAATGTACGGACGGACGGATGGGCACATTTATGGGATTGGGGGTGCTGATAAAAAGCGTTCCTTTCGTGCTTTAGTACCGAGATACTGTTTGAAGCGTGTTTCTTCCTCGTTTGACGGTTCCGTCAAATTGGTCATACAGATAACTGCCTGTAGACATGGTACGAAGCAGACATCAATGTATAAAGTAACCATGCTCCGAACTTGCTTGAGGCTTGTCCACAGATACTTCTTTCCTCATTTCTGCTTCGAACACTGCGTCCTCTGCAAGAAGTGCGAGCGGTGTGACCGCGGTTTAAGGATGTTAAAGAAAGCACAAGAAAAAAAGAATATTGCTGAAAATTTAAGCAACAGATTTTTTAGTTGTTTTTTACAAGCACCAAGTTTATATGCAACACGCAGAATATACAGTTGTCACATGCAAATAAACAACAAGTAGAGACGCATTGAAGGAGGAGCGAGATCGGTAACTTAACCCTGCAGCTTACTTCGCCGCCTTATATATACTCGAACCGAGTTTAAAGATACGCATTTCCGAGTGACCACCTCTGCTATTACCGAGGTTACAATGATTTGCTCATGCCAAGATTTTACATAAAACGTAATGCCTCGAAGTTCGACGAATGTATCTCCAAGTAGAAAAGCATTGGTATAGGTGTTAATAGTTGATGTAGTCGCTACAGCAACCTCCGCTAAAGTTGTTGGAAGCGAGTGTTTGACGAGCGTGGACAAGAGCACCGCAGCATCCTCTCCACATCATTTCTGCATTCTTAATAAATGAAGGGCGCTCCACACAACAACACCTTATATCGCGATAAAAAAAGGGCGTTTCAATTCACATAAGGGAGATGAAAAGGTGTACATTGTGTGTAAGTCATTAGAACAGCCTTTTTACATCCTGAAGGGTGTAAACGTGTTTAGTGAGCGCGGACCAGGAATTGTCTTCTACGCTTGTTCTTGGACAAAAATTGCTGTCAAACCAACTCGAGAGGAAAAATTAGAATGTATGCTTTTGCCGATCTGTACCACACTGTTTATACGTCCCGAAAAAAAAAAATCATTAAGGGAGCTTATCGTCGCAGAATTAAATTTAGAGAATAACGGATCTTATCGCTTTGGTGTCGGCATTGCCAGTAGGTTGAATCATCCTGATTCTGTGGAGACATTCGCGCACATCCTATTATCTAGGTAAGCTCCTAGGCCTCCGTGTTTCACTACACTGTCGATAAACTTATTCCAAAACTCAAAGCGCCTCATCGTGGCGTGATGCCACCTTATGCATTGTGGGAATGCATAATGTGGCACCACGCCGCTATGAGGCGCTTATTCTGTGCGTCTGACAGGATCTTACAGTTTTTGTAAAATCAGGCATAAAAGACATCTTATGCACCCGCAAACGCGTTACCGACATGCATCGGCAAGTTGCTTCACATTTGTATTTTGTGCCACGGGTAGCCGCGTTAGAACGGCATAGAAACTTTAGGACTGGACTAGATTGGATCTGAGGACTTACATCCGTATCGGGAGATATCTGATATTTACACACGGACAATTGTTGCCAACTATACGCAACCGCTGCGGTAGTCACTGACCAAATAAAGGTTATCTTAACTTTGTGTACACACGTGCACGAGTCCATTCCGACACATCCTCTGCCTAGACTAGAGGTACTATTTAACCAACCATTAGGATTTACCTGCTGACGCTCAATATTACTTGAGTGTTTTGTTACTCTAATGGTGCCCGCGGTTCTGATGTAGAATATTTACATGTTGCACGTGACGATGAGTCATAGTTTTCAAAGAGGGTAGCGGGGTTTTCCCGATGACCGAAAGTTGATCTCACAACAACAAAATAATACGCACCAAGTAATGCATATTATGACAGTTATTTTTTTACAATTGTACTTTCAGCTTTGAGAGCAGCTACTTTTATACCTTTCGTTGTTTGTTTTATATTATACCGGAGTCTTGTTTAACCCGATTAAACTTGCCTTATTTTTATACTGTGGACACAGGATACTTGGTCTCCGAAGATATTTATATTATAGCAGGCTTTTGAAATAAACCTTCTTGTCAAAATGAAAAGAAAAAATAATAAAGTAAAAAAATATTTGCTTGGAATGCAAAATTAAATCTGATAAATCAGCGACTGGACGTGGTCATTACGTGAAAGATTTGATGATTGACTTAATTTGGTTATGAAGTTAAATTGGGCCAGAAACATACCGGTGGGTATCTATCACGACTTTCACAAGTAATAACTTCTAATCAATAAATTTTTGCACCGTCTTTGTGTTTAATTTATTGATTTCGGTAGTTGGTAATCCCGTGAAAAGTTTAATTACTTTTCAGGTACAAAATCGCTGCGCTTTGTTTCTCTACAACCTCGTGGGAAGTGAAAAGCTTGGAGACATTGCGCATCATTTGGACAAACTTCCGACACACCATAGATCAGCCCGTAATATAAAATTGTAAAATTGGCTAGTCCCTGCGTTTAGACCGACACGCGGAGCGGCTCTGTTTACCAACACGGCTGGAAGACCGCTCATGCGCGGAAGCTATGTGGGCAAAAGCGGCCCGGCACTCCGTGTTTTTGCCATTGCGTTGTGTGGTGTGCGCTCGTTGTTAACGTTGTAAGGACACTTCTAGCTTTATTTGTGCGTCGTATTTCCTGACAACGTATGTCGTATGCTATGCCCGACTATTTGAGCTCGCTACCCGAGCCTGAACGGCTGCGGTATCGAAACAAACTGTGCGTGGACGGCGTTGCCTTCGAGGATCCGTACGCCGCAAACAAGGTCTGCTGGACTTTCGACGTGAAGTTGCTGCCACCGAAGTCGACGACTAACGTCGTCGTTTATTTAGTTTTTTCGCGAAGCCAGTTCACGGCCGACGCGGTGCAGACGCACAAGTCTCTCGAGGCGAGTCGGTTTCCGCACTGCCGGCGGGATCAGCAGGCTGTGGATCCGTGGAAGTATGTTTATTAATTGATTAAATACACAGAGCGTCTTCAAGTCATGGTATGATATTTTTCCTACCCTCATGGCCACAAGGCATGCCAAGCAGTAACGCTTTGTCCGTTCTGCAGTCTTCGCGGTAACACGTTACAAGTAACAGCGTTGCCAGGGACGCGTTACTTTTTTCAGTAACGTATACCTACTCGTTATTTTTTCGACACAGTAACGGGTAACGTACTTACGTTACTATTTTAAGCAACGTAGTTACGTTACTCGTTACTACTTCCCAAGTCTTATAGAAACTACACTTCAATTTTTCCCGTGTTTTTAGGTGTCAAGACATATAAATTTCAAAGTTTTCTGCGTTTTTCTTAGCGCTTTTTTCTCGTGAGTATTTAGGTGAAACCGTAAAAAGAGATAAAGTAATTATGTTCCGTTTTTGCATGAACATATTTCTTAATATATGAGCTTATGCAAAGCTGTATCGTCAAAACAGTAAAACGTGTTAAATCATATTTAAAAAGTAACGCAAAAGTAACGTGCGTTACTTTTTATCGGTAGCGGTAACGCGTTCCTTTTATTTTTAAGTAACGTAGCTCGGTAACGCTTACCTTTCACTAGCAAGTAACGAGTAACATATTGTGTTACTTTTTTTCCGTAGTGCCTACAACACTGTCGTTCTGTCGCCGATCCCCTTCTGCTTGGTAGCACGGGCGTAGCGAGCCTCCGACGAGCGCTTGGCCGGTGCTTTGTGCGCGAACAGCGTGGGAACAAAATCCGGGTGGTCTCGATCAGACTACGGTTTCCCTGAACATCAGCAAGCCTCGGGACGGAGATTGAAATGGAAGCCGCACTTGCCTTCAAGAAAGTGCTTGCCGCACAAAAACGGTCGTTCGCACGAGGCGACCATTTTTTTCGATCCACGAATATTACGCACCTTCTGTGCCTTTCAGAGTTCGCCGGGAACTTGTGGGAACTCACTCCACTAATTCTTCTGTACGTTTCGGTGCAATTAACGGCTACACAGCTTCGCGGCATGCTGAAATGCTATGACACCCATGCAAAACGGGCGCGCTTTTGCCCACACCACTCGGCTCCGGCGCGATCGCAGCGCTCCCGCAGCTTCATGACGTCAAGCCCGCGTGTCGGTCTCTAACACCAATTATATTCTGTTCACCACGCTCTCATACCTCTTTTTTAACAATAAACATATTACTATTACTACTA